TCATTAATCTATAAAAAGATAAAATGTATAGACTGTACAGCAGAAATGTAGATAAATACCATACAGAAGAAGAACCTCAAAAAGCTAAGTCAAACCAGACACACAAACCACTTAAATATGATTCCATTTATAAGAAATGACCAGAAAAAGCAAACTTTATAAGACAGAAAGCAGATCAGTAAATGGATGGGGGGAGAAGACAGAGACTGACTACACTGGCACCAAGAAATTTGGGGACTGGCCACAGAGATAGCTGAGTGGTCTAAGCACCTGCCTAGGCAAGCATGAGGAGCTGGGTTCGATCCCTGGTACCACACACTTCGCTGGTCCTGCCCTGGACACGCCAAGCCGGCCACCAAAACTGGGCATGGTGGCACATGCCTGCAATCCCAGCACTGGGGAGGCTGAAACAGGAGGATCACTATGAGTCCAAGCTGCGCAGTCAAACCCTGTACCAAATACATAAAATAAAAATTTTAAAAAATTGGGCAAGAAGAAATTTCTAAATCGATTGTGGCAGTGTCTACACAATACTACCAATTTATTAAAAATGAAGCCATAGGGATTGGGGAGATGGCTCAGTGGAATAAGCGCCTGCCTGGCAAGCGCAAGGGCCTGAGTCCAATCCCCGGTTACACACACACACACAAAGTCATTAAAGAAAAAAGTTGAGGTCTGGGAATATAGCTCAGTAGCTCAAGCATCTGTCTGGCAAGTGTAAGGTCCTGAGTTTGAATCCCAGTACAAAAAAAAAAAAATCAAGTCATATATTTACAATGGATGAGTTGTACAGTATCCAAATTATACCTCAATAAAGCTGCAGATAAGCAAAGTGTGGCAGCACATGCCTATAATCTCAGCTACTCAGGAGGCTGAAACAGGAAGACCAGAAGCTTGAGGCCAGACTGGGTAACTTACTGAGATCTTTTCTCAAAACTTCCAAAAAAAAAAAAGCACTACTGCAGTGCATGCTGAAAGGTCTATGAAGAAAATTTGTGTTATAGATGGTTAACAACCTAAGTTTGCAGACCAAAATTAGAGAAAAAGGAGGGCCGCAAGGAAAGCCAACATTTTGGCCCTGGCCTTCCAAGGTCAATTAAGACTCAGGAAAGACATATAAGAACTTGTACTGCAGGGGCCAGGGAGATGGCTCAGTGGATTAAGCGCTTCCCTGCCAAGCACAAGGGCCTGAGTTCAATCCCCAGTTCCACCAAAAGAAAATAAATAAATAAATAAAAAGAAAAAAAAGAACTTGTACTGTAACGTCATGTAACTCGGTAGTGTCCCAAATTTTCTGATCAAGATTATGGGGCCAAAGAGGAAAGTGATCGATGATGTAGAGTGTGCCTAAGAAGAGTCACATGGAGAGAAAACATTCTCTCAGGCTTTCACAGAGCGCACAATGGCCAAGCAATGGCCGTGACTCATCCACATGGCTGACACTGACAAAGGTTCTACAGTCTGAGGTACAGGATCTCAGCATAAATCCTGAAGGGATTTCACTAACCTTATCAGATCCAAAAGTTACAACTCTTGTTGCATAGGTCCTGCTTTACCTTGGTCTTAACCCATCCAGCAGAAAAGTATAAAAACGAAGTATAAGGGGCTGGTGAGATAGTTCAGTGGTCTAAAGCATCTACTTAGAACAAGCTGTAGCAAACCACAGGGACCACGGTTCAATCCCCCAGCACCACATGCCAGCCAGCCCCGCCCCTTGGTGGGCTGAGCTGGCCACACACACACACACACACACACACAAATAAAATTAAAAATAAAAACGAAGTATAAGAAGTAAAGCCATGCTGTTATGCTGAGCTGTAGGGGACTCAGGTCAACAATTTCTGACATTGCCAGTCAAGCGGAAGACCCAATACTATTATGGACTACTGGACTCTTTTAGAATATTTTGCTGAGTTTACACACCTATAATATTCAAATAACAGAACTTAACAAAAAAGGGGATACAGATGAATGTCCATTTTGTATCTGTGTATTCAAAGTGGTTAGGATAGATATATAGTTACATTCTCTTAATGAAAAGAGGGATTTGTTCTAATGGTGTTTGTAAATAGGATATCATGTCCGCATCTTGTACAGCAATTAACCACTAGGAAAAATGTATGCAATGTGTTAATTATTGAAATTGTCCTACCAATTTGGTTTGAAACTGTCTCATTGCTATTTGTTTCTCAATAAAATTATGGGGGAAAAAAGAAAAAGAAAATTTGTGTTAGATGTTAAAAAGTACTAGCAGCATGATGGGGGGGGAGGTAAACTCATCCGTAGGATGTGTACTTATTAACATGCATGACTCTGGGTTCAGTCCCCACAGCACTACAAATAAACAAATAGCATCCATATTATCTTCTCTTGACAAAATCAACAAAACTGACAGCAACCTGAAAGGACAGCTTCTCAGAAAGCTGACTGGTCCCCCAAATCATCACCAACATCTCTGTGGACTCAAGTCCACACTCAGAGAAACACTGAAGTAAAATAGGGTCCCTTTTGTCTAAAATTGACTCTTCCTGACCCAATGGACTTCTGGGGAGCCTGGAAGCACCAGGCACAGGAGGATCTTGACATCTCATGCAAAGTGAGAAGACCAGAAAAAAAAGTTACACCTCTCTCTGTCTCTGTCTGTCTGTCTGTCTCTCTCTCTCTCTCTCTCATACACCCTAAAAGAAAGAGAACAGAAAGGGAAAAAGTAGTAGCTGGACAGGTGGACAGGGCAGCCTTTGGACTGGGCAGGCCTAGAACATGTTGTCTACTGCAGCAGCACAAACCAGATGGCCAGTGGATTTTACTTGCAGGGCCAACGCCAACTGATTAGTTATTAGTTGCAGCTGGCTGGAGAGTTCTGTAATGGATTCTGAAACCAAATTCAGGCTCAGTGAGAAGAAGCAACATGAGCAACTGCCAATGCCTACCGCAGTGGAATGAGAAAGTGGTGCTATTAGTGCCACGTGTTTGTTGTAAAGTGTGCAGGTCCCAGGTTTGCATTTCCCAGGAAATGTCTCAATGAGCGTTCTGATATGTTATGCCACAGTGAACTGCTGTTAGGCTCAGGACCAGTTTACCTGTTTTCCTATTCAAGCAATAAACACCCAACATTTGCTCAGAATTTTTCACTTGCCATACATAGTTTATAGTATACATACGCTATTTGTCCATTTCACAAGTGAGGAAACAGAGTGGAGGAGGGGAGAGTTTGGGTAATTTGACCAAAGTCACCTCAGCCAAAAACCAATGGAAGAACATGTGGAGAGGTCAATAGCAAACAACTTCTCTGATATGAGGTTATCAGCCTCAGAGTAACTACAGCAGTGATGGCAAACCTTTCACAACTTTCAATGATACAAACATCCTGCTGCTGCAGGAGTGCCATAGGTTCACTACCACAGCACTAGTGCATTCCCCCTGGGCATTCCCAGGGCCATGGCCTCACACCAGGTCAGGCTTTCCTACATTTGAGCCTCAGATACAAACAGGAATGGCAATGTCCCTGCACTGCAGGCAGCAGTATGCTCTGGTCAGCTAACAAAGCCTTCCAACTGTACTCCAACTGTGCCAGTTTCCCGCCTCTGTATCCCTGTGTGTGTTGTCGTCATCGTCGTCGTCGTCATCGTCCCGTTTCCCCCCCCTTCCAAAATCAAAGCAGGGCGCATTTTCTCAAACTTGATGGACATCAGACTCAGCTGAGCTATGGATTTAAAATAGAGGATGCAGTCCGGAACAGCTGATGCCTGTAATCCCAGCACTCAGGAGGCTGAGGTAGGACGATTGCTGTGAGTTCGAGGCCAGCCTAAGGTACAAAGTGAGCTCAAGGACAACCTGAAATGCAGAGAAACCCTGTCACAAAAAGAAAAAGAAAGGGGCCAGGGAGACAGCTCAGTGGTCTAAGCGCCTGTCTGGCAAGCACAGGGACACTGGTTTGACCCCTGGTACTGCATGTCATGCGCTATGCCGGCCATTAAAACCGGTGTGATGATACATGCCTATATTCTCAGCACTGAGGAGGCTGAGACATGAGTCCAAGCTGCATAGCAAGACCCTGTACCAAATAAATCTCTTAAAAAAGAAAAATGACAAATTAAAAAATAAAATAGAGGATGCTAGGCGCCAGCTTGTCTGAGGCAGGGCTGGGAAAGTTTAACAAACTGCCCCTCTCATAGGAGCAGGTAGTCCTGGACCACATGAGAAGGAAACCGGGCCTGTTGAGTATCCTTATCTTTCTTCTCTGCTTTCTACTGCAAATGGCCCAGGAGAAGATGGAGAGGGAGGAACTGAAGCTAAAAGTTCCGTCAGGCCATACAGCAAGGCACCAAACAATGGAAAACAAGGCTTCTCCTGGAGCTAAACATCTGATTCTTGTACCAGCTGTGCTTTCATCCAGCTCTGAGGCCTTAGGAAAGTCACTTTTCCTAATGGCTCAGGAGCCTCAGCCAGAAACCAGCAGGTCTCCAGTTTTCCATCCTGGTTGAAGACCCTGGCCCTCTGACGGCAAGGACCCAGGGCTCTTCCCTCTCAATCACAATCATCTGCCTGGGGGCGGCAAGGTCTCCTCGACCCACACATCAGAAAAGTCAAGCCTCAGATGAGATCGAACGTAAAGTGCCCAGACCCCGGGCCAGGTCTTCACACCACGCCTCCAAAGACCACGAAACCCAGCCTCGGTGCGCAACCTTCACAGCGCACTTTACAAACGCCAGGCCCAGCGCGGAGCACCGCGCCCAGACCAACAGAGGCCGCGCTACGGGACTGGCCAAGGTCAAGAGCCAGGAAGGAGCCGCTTTGGATCTGAACGTGGACAGTCCGTCCTGGGCCCGACCACGCCTCAGAATGGGGGACAAGGGCGGCCCGGGGCTTCCCACGGGTGCCCAGCTGCTCAGGGCCGCGGCCGCGCAGGAGCCTCCCCTTCTCTCCGTGCCCAACCTCGCTCCACCGCCGGGGCTGCGCCTTCCTGCCCGCGTTCCAGCCGCGCCTGGCAGGACGCTCACCGGACTTGGGAGGGTAGCGATAGGCGGAGTTCGCCTGGATGTCGATATCCTCCACCCCCGCGATGCGGCGGCTCAGGATGGAGCCCATGATGAAGGCGCGGGACGGGACTTGGGCAGCGACAGCGGCAGTATCCTCACGCAAACATGATCAGAACCAGGCCCGACGGCCGCACGGCCACAGCTGTGCCTTGATCCAGGCCCCCACCCCGACAGGCTGGGCCAGACGCCACTGCGACCCGCCTTCCCGCCCGCAGCTCCTCGGGAAATGGAGTCCGCGGCGCCCAGACGCTGCGGGCCGCGGCGCGGCGAGCGCGCCTGCGCACTACGCCTCCCAGAGTGCCCCTCGCGGAGACCGGTCAGCCTGGGTCAGCCACGCAGCGCACGCGCGGGGAAGGGAGACCCCCCCCCTCGGCCCAAGGCGAGAGGGTCGTCCCTCAGAGACCCGAGAGCGGCGCTGGTCCCGTAGCTCCTCGGTGTCTTCCTGACCTGTTGATTCGTAGAGCCTTTGGTGGAACCAGCGCCACCATGTCTAAAACATCTCGGATCTTCCTAATTCTCAGGGTTCATCTCCCGCCCCGTCAGTGCTCACGGAGGAAGCAGTCACCAGCGTGAACCTTGGTCAAAACCCTAAGTACAAGGGGCCGGGGAGATGGCCCAGTAGAGTAAGCGCTTGCCTGGCAAGCGCAGGGTCCTGAGTTCAATCTCTTTTTCCGCCAAAGGAAAAAAACCTAAGCACTGCCCTGGACCCACAATTGTCCAAACGTTCCTTTCAGGATACAGTGTTACAGCCCGCCAAGACAGCAGACATCTCCCCATTTTATACTAGGGAAACTGAGGTACAGAGCATGTGCTGGAGGCAAGTTTCCAAGTATCAGGGTTAGGAATGGAACCTCAGCTTGAAAGGTGTTTCCTGGCTTTGGACTCTTACACACATCGGTAAGGTCAGTTGAGAACCTGGAGCTCCAAAAAGACTATTTAGCAAGTCAAGACTGCTGTGCCAACTAACTGGGAAGCCTAAGACTTGAAGTGTCAAATCCACCACACATTAAAATGTTCCTACTTTTCCTGAAAAAGCAGGATCCAATGATTGCTGAGAAATCCAAGTGACTTAAGATGAAGGACTTGTATATTTGGTCTTAGAGGTAGCTGGTTAAATCTGCCCGACCTACAATCATGATGCACACTTAGTGAGCACTTGTTATAGCCTAAGTATGATGCTGAGGGGTTTGTACCAATCACTCATTTAAATTTTCTCTGATAATGCATTCTAATAAAAAATTTTAAAAAGTCTGAGTTTTATGTTTTCAATGTACAGAAGAGGAAATTAAGACTAGAAAAAGTATACATTCTAGCTGATAGCACAGCAAAAAGTGGCAAGGCTGAGATTTATTCCTACCTAAAGGACCTTCCTGTGTCCCCAGAGACAATACTATTTCAATGTATTAGATTTCAAGTCTCTTGCCTCCTGATCAATGAACTTGAAGGCATCCCCTCTCAATGCAGTCTTTATTCCCTTATTTAAGAATTCTTTTCAGCTGGGCAGGATGGCACACCCCTGTAATCTCACTACTAGAGAGGCCGAAGCAGGAAGATTGCCATGAGTTTCAGCCTAACCTGGGTTCCATACTGAGTTCAAGGACTATGTAACAAGATACTGTCCCAAAAACAAGAAAAAAATTTTTCCATTAAATTACATATTTATATATGCATTTGTCCACATATCAACACTGCATTCAATTTACTTCCCTCTCTGATCATGGTGAAGGAGAGTCCTGAGGATTCTAATGCTCAAAATGAAAAGTAGTATTAAGTGCATGTTTCTTGTCTTGCTAGTTGGACCTTTCATTAAATAGTCCTCCCACCCCGGTGGTACCAAGGATTGAACTCAGGACCTTCTTATTTCACTGAACTATTTCCCCAGCCCCTCATTAAATATTAAGTGTTTCGGATTCAAGGTGTGTCAAAGACCCTCCAGCAATATTGTTCAATATCAACACTCAGCTCAGAAGACAGGTCTTTCCTGATTTGATCTGAAGTTCCACTATCAACATCTTGGGTGGCTCATTTATTTCTTAGACAAATATTTACCATGCAACTACTATGTGACAAGTGATGAGTCAGACAACAAGGATCAAATAGTAGAAGATGCTAGACACAAAGCCCAGGCTAGTTTGGAAAGATATCTTCTTCCACTGATTGGCCATGTGAACTTTGACAAGTTCCTCAACCTCCCTGGCTCTCAAGACAAAGGTGGTACTGGAAATGCCTTTTCTTCTCTCTCTCCCTCATTTCTAGTCCCAGCTGTCCCACCTCAGCCTGTTAAGAAAGTCAAAGTCCACCCTCCAGCTAGGCTGATCCTAGGAGAAAACAAAATTATTTTTTCTTCTCTACCATATCTAAGAAAACAAGCGGACTGAGGTGGTGATTGGGGGCCAGCAGGGTGACCTTTGCTCCTACCAGCTCCATTTCCTCTGCCCTGCAAAGCAGGCTGGTCTGGGAGCGTTCCTTCAGGGCTGGGCAAGCCTGAGCAGGTATGGAGGTGGTAAGAGGATTGCAGGTGAGAAGAGGTGCTTCTTGCTTCCATAAGCAAAAACAAACAAACCAAACAAACAAAAAACCAGTAGATAGAGCCCACCCTCCCTTGCCAGAAACACACTGCTGGACCAAAGGGGACTGGATCTTTTCCACTGGCTCACAATGACAGAGTGTAAAACTAGTTTCCAGCCTCTGCTTCCTTATCTGTAAAATGGTGCCTGGTCTTCCCAAAGTGATCCAGATGGAGGCAAAGGTGTATTAGAACTGGTGCACTGATTGCCAGGCCTTGTGCTAATCACCTCATAGATATGAATTTCCCAGAACACCACTGGGAGAGCTGAGAGGTTTGCAGAACAGAAAACCAAAGCTAGTGGAGGAGTCAAGACTGACAGGTCTGTTTCCTTCTCAAACCTGCCCACCTTCGACCACGCTCTGTCCCGATCCCCATGGCAACAATGGAATTAGAAGTCTTACTCAGAACTGCCTCTTACCGTGTGCTGACCTTGTGCTAGGCACTTTGTTCACATTAATTCATGCCTATGATGTTTCATAGAGATAAGGGAGATTCTCAGCAAGAGCAAAAATACCTTTGTACTAGGAAGATGTGCAAAACATTATGGCCCCAATAAATAAATGACTACCTTTGAAGAGGAAAAAAACAAAAAACAAACAAAAAACCATTACTGCCCCTTAGTCATCCTACCAGGACAGGAAAGAGTTCCAAACTCCCATTTCCTGTGGATAGAGGCCTTCTGCCAGGACTAAGGTACCTGTCTAGGGAAGGGGAACACTTGGTGACTTCCAGTTCAGAGGCATGATCCTTTGCTAAACCTCTAAGCTATCTAGGTCTCACCCACATCCTATCACTCCAACCTGGAACTTTTAGGCACTGTCTACCAGCAGCCCCATAATTCTAACACTAGCCCCTAAGAGACTCTGGCAGGGTTCAGGTGCTTAACTCTTTTTTTTTTTTTTTTTTTTTTTTTTTTTTTTTTCAGTACTAGGGATTGAACTCAGGACCTTTTGCTTGCCAGACAAGTGCTTATTCTACTGAGCTATCTCCCTGGCCCTATCTACCTTATTAGAACTGAATCTACCGGCCACACTGTCACAACTACAGTGACCATGATAGGAACTTTTTGTTGTTTTTTTGGCCAGTTCGGCCCACCCTGAGGGCGGGGCTGGAGTGGCATGTGGTGCCAGGGATTGAACTGCTGCCCCCTGTGCCTGCCTAAGCAGGCACTTTACATGGCAGAACTATCTCACAGGCCTCATGATTGGAACTATTGATCAGATCTATTATAAACCTTGAGTGGCCTTTCGCCCATTCCCAAGGCCCATGCTTGCTTTCTTAGGATACTTGGGATTTCCCACAAACACTACTCTCCCCTGCTGGTTTTGCTCTTCTACAACCCGGGACCTGGTCAAAGCCAGGCACATAACAGGCCAACATGATATTGGGGTCAAAGAAAGAAAGTGAGTCTAGGAAGCACAAGGAATCAGGCCAACGTAAAACAGACTAAGATACCCGCGGGCTCACGCCACTGCCTGTCACCGCCGCCCCCATCCCAGCCTAGCGCCCTCTCCCACCTGCTACGTCAACCGGAAGTGGCATGTGCGGAGCTGTAAACACAACCCGCAACGCCCCACCCCCGCTCCCAGCCCCGCCCCCTTCCTGCACGTGATGCGCCCCCGCCCGCCCTCGCCGCCGCCTCATTGGGTTGCTAGCTTTGTTTACCTTATATGGCCAGGTCCTAACACCCCGCAGCAGCCCATTGGCCGAGGCACGGCCTCTCTCGGCTGACGTCACTAGGAACAGAAAGATGCAAATAAACCGGTGCATCCTGGGAAGGTAAGTCCATAGTGATTCCGAAACTGGTTCCGCGTGGTCCTAGAGTCCCCGTGCTCAGAACACAGATTTCTGGCGGAGAGCACAAGCTGTTGCGTGGGAAAGTGGGTAATTCAGGGAGGGGGACCCCAAAACTCTAGAAGCTACCGGCCTCGTCCGCCTGTCCTGGGCGCCGCGTCTATCTCGAGACGCTCCTTTCTGCCTGGCCGAGAGCCAAACGAGGGAGGACAAGGAGAGAGAGCTCTGGGAGCTCTTCGAAGGCTTCCTGAAGGCGGTGACTTTTAGCAGCGCCTGGAAAAGCCGACTTCTTAGTTCACAGGACTATATTTATTGGCGCCTACTGTGTGTTGAGGCCTAGTGCATTGAATTTGGCTAGTGAAATTCATGGGGTCTCCTCTCTAGGGGCTGCAGGGTCTCCAAGTCCCGGAATCCTGGCGTTTGGACCCATTTCTCTGATCAGCGGCTCGCCCCGTAGGCGTTCGGCTACCAGACCCACCCTCCCATCCCGCCCGGCGGCGGCGTGGGTGCCGCGGACTACAGGTCCCAGCATGCCTCGCCGGCCGCTGGGGCCGCGAGGCGCGGCGAGTCAGAGCGCACGGTAAATATTTGTATTAGCTGGAGCCGGCTCGCTAATGGTGGACGCGTGAGGCGCGGCGCGAGCGCGCAGGCGGCCGGAGCGGGCAGCGCGACGGCGCCATGTCGGTGAACATGGACGAGCTCAAGCACCAGGTCATGATCAACCAGTTCGTGCTCACGGCGGGCTGCGCGGCCGACCAGGCGAAGCAGCTGCTGCAGGCGGCTCACTGGCAGTTCGAGGTGCGCGCTGGGTGGGTGGCGTGGACACGTGCCGGGGGCGCCCCCTGGGCCGGGCAGAGGGCTCTATCCGCTCGTCCGACGGCCAGGCCCGTG